CATCTGGCCCAAAGAGGTGTAGGTGGATGGGTAACACCCACAACGAGACATGCAGCAGTTCCCCCTCTCAGTGACAAAGCCCAGCTTCCCTCTGGAAAGTGACTCTACTAGCCAGATTCCTCAATGATCCAATGTGAATTAGGTGACCCAGTTCACTGGATCATCCATGGCAAGCATGGGGAAACCTACAACCTCAACAAACAAATGACTCATTGATAGAGGAGCATGTCTTGTTGCACCCTAAAGACACTGCAGCAAAAGCGGAACCAAGAAAGGCCCCAGGGACTTCCCAGATGCTAGGACTTTCTCATGGCTCAAAGCCAGCCAGTAACTCAGATCTGAAATATCTTTGTGAGTATTGAAAGCTAAAATTCCTCAGGCATTTTGAGGGGTTCATTTCAAACTGTTCAGTTAATTTTTAAAACACAAGTAACACTTGATATAGAACTCAGGAATATTCAAATACCTAGGCAGTGAACAGAGAGAGATTTAAGATGGGTCCTGAAAGAACAATGTCCTGCCTGCTCTTCATAGATGTTACAGATGCCAAAACACTTTTTGCCCTGATCACCTTGACCAAAATTTCCCCTCCCCCTATTGCCATGCAATGCGCTGTAGGCCAGTAGCTTTCTGTTCTCCAACCTAGAGGTGACTGCATTTCAATACAATCATATCTCTGGGACCAAATCCTGCACTCCTTGTTTAGCTCTTACTCGAGCATAAATCCCACTGGAGTCAACTGGAGTTTGGCCTAGTCCAGAAGCCTGAAGGCTGGAGCCCATAGCAAGTGTGAGGCTTTGGAATGAAAGGCACTATAGTAGAAACCTGTTAAACTCTTCGAACATCTTCAGTGGATTACACTGAGGGACAAAGGATGAGCCCTTTATCCTCCCCTCCAGTGACTCCACTCTCTCCTTGTCCAGTGCATTGGGCCCTATACAGCCTTGCACCACAGCGCCTTTGCAGGAGATGTATCAAACCCCTATGCTGGCACCAGCGTAGTGATGGATCTAGCCCCCCTGCTTCCCCATTTGCCCCCATTTTTTAGTGCTCTGTGTTATGAAGCTGTATGGATTTTCCTGTCAGCGAGGAGTGTCAGGCCAGGGCTGCTCCTAGGCATGGGGCGAGATGACGATGTGCAGCAATTTACAGGAAACCTCGGGTGCGCATGCAGCCTGTGGTTCTGTGCTTCCTGCCAAGTGTGAGCTAGTTTGTAGGTCTCTGCCTTTGCCGCTGGTGACAGGCAGCACTCGGAGGCTGGGGTGAGAACAGAGGCCCTGCAGACTACTGTTTTAGAAAAACCAACTGCATCACAACTTGCTAACTTAATTGGGAAACGTACTTCACCCAGAGGTTGAGCACGCTGCCCCAGCCCTCAGCAGCTCAGGAGAGGACACTGCAGTCAAGCCCAGATCTCCCATGTGGGAGCATGAAGAACTCACTGCTGCTAGGATAGTTGGCCAAACCCAACAGCACTCCTAGCCCCTGTACCAAGAGACCAGGGTATCAGACTCAGCTCTCCTGCACGGCCGAGCACTCAGAGCCACTGGGGTGGTTTTGCTTGCACACATAGCATCATGCAACCCAGGGAGCGAGAGAGTCAGATTGGACTTGAAGCAGGCTCTTCCTCATTGTCGAGCACAGCACTAACATTTCGTATACACAGGGCACTTCTATGGCACTCCCAGGTCCCATCTTCCCAGGCAGTAAGTATGTTAGTGGGGTCTCTCCCCATGGCAGTGGACAGCCTTCACCGGCCACTGGAGCCAACTCAAACCTCACCTTGCAATTACCTTGATTTTTTTGGCAATCACCCTGAGAGAGAAGTGACAGGAGAGGGGAGATTGAGGGATAACATGCTCATAAAGCAAATGCTACGGCTACTTGTCATTTTGACCCCAAAATTGCACTAGGCATCAGGGATGGGCACAGAGGGCCCCCCCCTTCCCCAATCACTGGGGATGCGGGATGGGCACAGAATGAACCTTTCACCCACCTTGTGGCCCAGTTCTCCCCATTCCAAATCTCCCCCACTGACGTCACGGGATAAATGGCGATCAAGGATGAACGCAACATGGACCTTTCACTTACTCTGGTGGACAGGAACGGGCATAGCTAAACCTCTTGAGCTCCAGGACAGGAACAGCATGCCCCCTCAGGACACAGGCTGGGCCCACAATGGGGAGCTGGGTTTTACACAGAGTACCCCCATGCTGTCCCTGCTGGCCGTGGATACCCAAGGGGGCATAGAGTTGAGCATGACAGTGTCATTCTGTGCTGTGGCCACTGGGGCTCACACATCTTCTTTTGCCACCTATTGATAAGTAAGTGAAATCCAGATAGCCAAACGCCAGGACAGCACAAGCTAAAGCCCCATCATCTACTCTCTAATCTTTATTTATGCAGTACTAGGCTGATATCTCATATACAAAACAGAGTACAAGCCATTTAAAAAAATAAACCTTAAACTAGTCAAACCATTAGCACACACTGCAGAAAGCTGGGCCTGGCCTGAGTAACATTTCCATCCAGATGGACCAGCTTCTGAGGAAAAAGCAAAGTACAACATCTGGCCCCTTGGCGGGACATGCAGGGGCCTCCTTCCCCACATGTCTCTTCCCTGCACCTGGCAGGTCATAAATGGGCACATTTGTGGAGAGAAATAAGGATACACCTTTTAACGCCACAGAAATACATTGGAGACTCGGATCCTGAAAGAACTACCATACATTCATCTACCTTACGTGGCACCAGTAGCAAGCTCCAGCCAGTGCTGTTGAGAATGGCTCTCACGTCTCCGTCCCTGCCCCATGCTCAGTGTGCTGTCACCAACACCAGAGGGGCTGCTTTAACTAGCCAGACAATACAGTGAATAAAATAGAAACATGGGGCCTCTGCTGACCCAGCTGATCGACCTGCGAATCAGAGAAGTCATGAGACTTGCCAAAGGGGAGAGGCACGGACAACACGTGCCTCCTGATGCTGGGAGGCCACAATCTAAAGGGGAGGACACGTGACAGCCCCACATGTCTCCTCTGCCCAGCGACCCCCCCGGCCCTGCGCCCAGCCTGCAGTCGCCATGCTCTCCCTGCCCCACCAGAGTTAGCTGGGGGTGGGTGGGCTCTGTCCTTCTCCTGCTGCACCTCCCCCATGGCACATTTGGCCACTCTCCCTGGGGAGCGGGACGGAGCCACTTTGCGGGTCGCTGCTCTGTGTGGCAGGGCAGCTGCCGGAGAGAGAGCCTGGCTGGAGAGGTGACCGCGGCAGCAGCTCGCTCCTCGCCTGGGCCTGGCTACCGTGGACAGGGGCGGAGCAAGCCGGAAATGTGCCAGGGGGAGGAGGGGTGAGGAAGAGGGGACTCTGGCTTGCTTGGCTCCTGTCCCTGTCTGCTGGGCCCAGGTGGGGAATAGGCTGCCACCGCCACCTCCCCAGCCGGGCTCTCTCTCCGGCAGTGGCTGTGCTGCACAGAGCAGCGACCCGGAGCGGTCAGTTTGAGAAGTGGCTGGTCTCCTCCCCTTCCCTCCCCGCCCAGTCCCAGCTGCCAGGGACAGAGGTGGAGCATGCCGGGGGGCAGGCCCATCAGGAGAAGGACAAAGCCTCTCTCCCTCCTCTCTGCAGTCCAAGCAGAAATCTGTAGGGTGGGGGGGGGCACTTGCCCCTGCATGCCCCCCCATATGTTGCCTATGAATAAGCAAGAATGTCTTTCCCAGTACACCAGGGGTTCTCAAACTTTTGTACTGGTGACCCCTTTCACATAGCAAGCCTCTGAGTGCAAGCCCCCCCTTATAAATATATAAAAATGTGTTTTTAATGTAACACCGTTATAAATGCTGGAGGCAAAGCGGGGTTTGGGGGGGGAGGCTGACAGCTCGTGACCCCCCATGTAATAACCTCATGACCCTCTGAGGGGTCCCGACCCCCAGTTTGAGAACCCCTGCACTACACCCAGTGTCCCAGAGACATGTGGTGCTGATTGCAGGCCAGCCGAGCATGTCCTCCTTTGTCAAAGCAAGAGTTACTGGAACCGCTGGGTCCCCTGGCCTGCGTCAATACAAGGCTATTTGCTTTCAGAATGCTGATGCAGGTGTCAGATGGATTACGTGGTGTTGCCCTAAACCAAGTCCTTCACAGAAATGGAGCAAACGAGGCTTCCTAAATCCCTCCGTGTGGACAGGCTCTGGGAGAGGCGCAGAAGACAGCACTGCAGCATTTCCAGATTTTCCTGGAAGCAAGTAGTATCATAGAAAAAGCAAGAGGGTGAATTCCTCCTCTCTGGTACACGTGACTGGCTCCAGGTGGCACACCAACCGTAGTAGCTGCGCTGGCCACCACACCTGGGCCTCTTTTGAGAGCACAAAGTGGCCATGGGATGAGAGAGCCAACAAGGTTCAGAAAAAGTAGTTATTAATTAGACTACTTAGTTTTGGTTGGTAGTACGTATTACTGTGCAGGAATCTCACACACCAATGGATACGGGCTTCTGTCATGTGACAAGTACATCTGCCTTGGGAACCCTGAACCAGGTCATGTCACTGTAGCCAAGAAATAAAGTTGTAGTTTCTTGCCAGCACTCCAATATGTCAGGCCTTCATTACAATTAACACAACTATTTTCCTCTCCATGTGATCAAATTACTGGCTGCAACAACTAGAGGGGTGTTTGGATGGGAGTGCAGGTAAAGGGAGAAAGAGATACACATGATGAAAGTCATCTCAATAGAGTCTTAGGGCCGTCCCAAAAAAATAAAATAAAATAAAATAAAATTAGACCAGAAGTTGGCAAGGAGAGGTACAACCAAATGAAACAAAAAGGAAGCAGATTTCAGGACTAAATGTCCCACATTAGCATGAAGTCACTTGAAGAAAATGGCCAAGGTAGTGACCTGTGATCACCTCAAGTCTCCATCGTTGAGCCTTTTCATCAGCCATTCAGTATAGACAGTGATCTTCCACAACAAAAGCGGCCAATCTGGGGGATTGCTGGCTATTTGCAAGGTTATTTTTGTGGCGAGTCCCACCAGAGCAAGTAGTGGGACAGGTTCTGTTCCTCCAGGACAGATGCTTACGGTCTCTCTTTCATGTGGCTTGGAGATTTCTGCTGAGTGCGTGGCCTGGGCCGGGGAGGCCCTGCCTGGTACTGAGTTTGAGACTGTGGAGGGGGTCTCTGCTGCTGGCGTGGCTGCTTCTGGGGAGCGTGAACTGGAGGTTTAGGAAGCTCCCGATATTTCGATTCGTCACTCGATTGTTGAATTTTCATCGGTGTCTCTTCATCTGCAATTACAAATCCGCCAAGTAATTAGTTTATGACTCAGCATGAGTCATGTCACCAGTACAAACAAACAGAAGATAATCCAGGCTGGTTACAGGAGGAGTCTGCAGGGCAGCCTGTGCCTGTCTTAGTTAAAGAAGCTGCTGCGATCTTTCCTAGGCCCTGTTCCTCTAATGGGGTCAAAGGTTTTCACTGCGCTGGGGGTCAGCGATAGCAGAGGTATCACACAGAAGCTAGTGGCTTTTAGTTATCTGGAGATTTTGGAAATAAACAGAATGGCAATAAGAAAAAATTAGTCAAAAAGGAATGTGGCATTGTTATTTATGGTGAACAGCTACTACCTAGGGAAGGAGACTCGGACACTGGCAAGCAGTCAAATGCTTGCATAGTTTAAATGGTCTGGCGTTGGGGACCCTGTTTATTCCAATGAAATAATAAAACCTGGATTTGCCATCTACTCCCAGACTACCCCATGGCCCGTCTGTTGGCTGGTAGGGGTCACGGTGCTCATAGGGTATTTCAGTCAGTTCCATCCCCGCCTATCTCAGGGAGCCTGCTCTGCTGGGCAGCTACAACAGCTTACCAGCCAGGAGGAAATATGCCAAGGAGACTGAATTCCTCTCTCATCTTTGGAGGTGATCCATTGAATACAGGGTTGAGACACATCAGTAGGGGGCAGCGTAAAAAAAGTTTGCCCTGCCTCTGTCTGTGCTGTAACTGTTCTGCAGGTAGATAGAGGGCTCCACACACAAGGGCAATCAATCAATCTTGTACCTTTTAACCATATTAAATGTACTTCACATAGATGAAGTAGACTAATGGTCTTTGGCCACTATTACCATTTCTGAAAGGCCAGTGACCATGTATGATTTGATTTAGGGACTGAGTGACCCATTGGCTCAGAGACTGAACTGATCCTAAACTTCTATTGAACCATTCCAAAGGACCTAGTTACCTTGATGGTAACTAACACAGAGTTAAATGCACCTTAACATCAGTGAGGACAGGGACAAGCCAGTTTTAACATTGTGTCAATGGATCATAGGTAAATCTTTGGTTCCAGTAAGGTTACCCATGACCAGCTGGCAAGATGTTAAACACAACAGTCCCTGTCTACACTAACTGCTAGGGCACAAAGTTAATGAAACATGGTAACTAAAACAAACTGTTTGCCAGAAGCTGGAAGTGGGCAACAGGGGATGGATCACTTGATGATTGCTGTCATAACTATAAAGGGAAGGGTAACAGCTCTCTGTGTACAGAGACTCCAAATCCTTTTACCTGTAAAGGGTTAAGAAGCTCGGGTAACCTGGCTGACACCTGACCCAAGGACCAATAAGGAGACAAGATACTTTCAAATCTTGGGGGGGGAAAGGCTTTTGTGTGTGCTCTTTGTTTTAAGGGGTGGTTCGCTCTTGGGACTGAGAGGGACCAGACATCAATCCAGGTTCTCCCCATCTTTCTAAACAAGTCTCTCCTATTTCAAACTTGTAAGTAAAAAGACAGGCAAGGTGTCTTAGATTTACTTTGTTTTCTCAACTTGTAAATGTACCTTTTACCAGAGTGTTTATCTTTGTTTTGCTGTACTTTGAACCTAAGACAGAGGGGGGTCCTCTGAGCTCTTTAAGTTTGATTACCCTGTAAAGCTATTTTCCATACTAATTTTACAGAGATGATTTTTACCTTTTTCTTTAATTAAAAGCCTTCTTTTTTAAGAACCAGATTGATTTCTCCTTGTTTTAAGATCCAAGGGGGTTTGGATCTGTGTTCACCAGGAAATTGGTGAAAGGTTTCTCAAGGCTTCCCAGGGAGGGAATTCTTGTGATGGTGGCAGCGGACCAAAGCTAAGCTGGTAAATAAGCTTAGAAGTTTTCATGCAGGCCCCTACATTTGTACCCTAAGGTTCAAAGTGGGGATACAGCCTTGACAATTGCCTATTCTGTTCATCCTCTCTGGGGCACCTGGCATTGGCCACGGTCGGAAGACAGGATATTTGGCTAGATGGACCATTGGTCTGACCCAGTATGGCCGTTCTTAATGTTCATGACTCCTCAAGGTCATGTTCTAACATGTCTTAGTTTTCTAGTGAAGACAAGTGTAACAGGTCTGGAGTTTGGGTTTGGTTCAGATGAGCAACCAAAAGTTCAGTTGCGGAACTGTCCAAACCTCTCAGGTCTGCAAAGTCGGACTGTATATATTCCAAGGAAAGGCTATTTGGAGATTTATGGTCCTCCCTGTTGCTGGTCAAGCCAATCACACCATGAAAACATCTCATGAGCATGTAGGACCTAGTTAAACCCTGTTCACCCTAATGACGTGATTTACCTGTAATGATGATTTCATTGTTAATTATTTATAGCCAATACTTCTGTTATATTCTTGAATTCAATTTCTCTCATTATATACCTTTTCTTCTTTTTCTGTGACCACCAAAACTAAAACTCAGTCTAAATTTTCAAAAATGACCAGTGATTTTTACATACCTCTATGTTCAGGTGCCCAAGTTGAGACAGTTTAACGGGGCCCGATTTTTAGAGGATGAATAAATAACAACAAAACCGCTCTCTTATGCTTTGTACTTTCTGAAAATCTGGTCTCTTTACAGTGACTCAGGTTGTATAGCCAAAAAAATGGAGGCACCCCAAATCACTCTCTAGGCATACCTACATTTCAAATGCAATTAGTGGTGTTGATTGCCTTTACGTACATAGAAGTTAACGAGAAAGTGTGTTGGTGAGAGTCTCAAGCTTATCTCTAGATGAAGGATGTTCAAATAATCATGGATGCTTCTCTGAGACAAGCTTTTGGACGGTCTGTTCTCCCCTCACTGGTAAATAATAGTCCTTGAAAATAGCACTGTCTTGTTAAAAACCACCATCAGAAACCAAGATTAAAACTGGCAATTGAAGTGTAGAATTGCAGTGTGACAAAACTCAGTTTTTTCTCTCTCACTATCTCTGAGCAGTTTGTGGAAAGAACTAGGAGATTTTAAGTGGTCATACAGCAACATGAAAGTTTCAAGTGCTTACCCTGTTCTTCTTCATATCTTTCTGCTCTCTTCTTCCTGATACAGTAAATCAGCAGAGCCAAAAAGATGACAAAGACAACGGCACCTCCTGCAATGCTCCCAATGAGAACAATGTCCAGCGGCCCTAGCTCAGAGAGAAGAAGGAGATGTCGTCACAGGGAGAGAATAAAACTTCAAAGTCTGGAATTTGGTCCCAGTGGTCTGGAGGATGTATACATGTGAAGCTTACGACATGGATAACGATGATGATATGAAAACCTTGTAGTTATATAGCATCTTTTGTCCCAGCATCTCAAAGCATTTTCACAAACAATAAATTAAGATAACACCCCTCTGAGATAATGTTAAGTATTATTATCCCCATTTTACAAAGGGGGAAATTGAGGCTCAAACAAGGTTAAACCACTAGCTTATGGTCACAGAAAACTTGGTGGGAAGGAGAATTTTTTCATGAAACAGAGTTATGAAATGTGTGTATGATGTGCTTTGTTTGATGAGAGTTCTTGGGAAAGTTTGAGGTAGAATTCACAGGAGTGCCAAGCAGTTTTACTTAAGAAACAATAGGTGTCAAACCTCAAAAGTCTTGTTCTAGATTGACACACAAAGATCTGAGTGCCCTTCTGGCCTTTTAAGGACTTTCAAAATGCTTTGACTGGGCAAAAGTAGGGCTCAGAGTCTGACAAAAAACAGACTTTTTCAGGAGCCGGAAATACTGTGAGAACAGCTTGTCTTGTGGTATTTCAGAGCTTGCTCTTCTAGCCTTGGCTGAAACTCAAAACAAGTGCTACACAATAATTAACAATAGTGAAGAAACAGAAAAACTAACCAGCCGTGCTACCGGTGAGTGCCCCCCCCCCAGTCAACCCCCCCCCCCCCCGGAGGCCTGGGACCAGCTCCCACCCCACCCCCGCAGAGGCCTGGGGCCCCTTACCCCCTCCCCCCATGGGGGGCGGGGGGCTGTGTAGGGCCCCAGAATAGCTAGGGATGGCCCTGGTACTAGGCATGAATTACACTGCTCTACAGCCAAAATGCTTCTGAAATAAATGTAGTCAA